ATTCAATTATCCATCAATGTTCTAACGCCTCTTTTTTTTTCTTTTTTTTTGCTGCAATTAGTTTTTTCGTTTGTTAAAGTAAACTTTAAATTTTCAATTTTTCTCTTTTGAGCACTTTTTTCTGCTTTAATATTCTAAAAAATTTGGCAATTAATTTTTATTTTGTAACAAAATAAGCTATAAAAATGAAAAGATTTCTAAGCAATGTTTTTTTTTTGCCGTTGTTGTTAATGTTGTTCTTTTTGTTCTTTTTTTTTTTCAAATTTAGCGAAGCTACGCAACTGTAAGGCCAAAATTTAATATCAGAATTGGATGTAAATTTGACTATTCATCATATCCAAATGATGTTCAACAATGTGCTATGGGATTGTTCACAATCCAACGGATGAGTGACGTACAACTTTTTTATGCATTTGAACCGTTTGCTAAAAATTGGTCACAACCGACGTGGTATTTTCGTAAGTCTATTTATCGCATAGGCACAGCGATATATGTAACCAACATACAAATAATTGGAAAAAAAAACGATTTTTATTTTGTCTAATTACTGAAGTGTAATATTAAAAAAGTTAATTTTTTTTTTTTAAGATTAAGATTGTTTACAAATCAAAAGTGTTTACAGCTAATAAAAAGCTGTAAAAGATTGCTAGTTTAATCTTGCTTTTTCTTGAACAAATTTTTTAAACATGGTTAAAAACTGTACTTTATAAATGTAATATTGAATGAAGCACTAAAGTAAAAAGTAATTTAATTTACCATATTTTAAGAAAATCAAAGACGTATTAAAAAGATGTATGTGAGCGACTGGAATCTTGAAGATATTTCATACTCCAGAACCTATTTTATGGATGGTAAAGAAAACAAGACTTCACCTCAAACAGCTGAAGAAATTGATCGTACCTGGTAATTTTAACAGTTTTTTAATGCATAAAAACTGAAGAATTTACATAAGCAAATAAAGTTTGGTTTATTTCGTAAACAGTAAAATTATGAGGAATTTTAGGTCTGTACTGTTGGTGGAGTTAAAGTTGGTAAGGCATGCCCCGTACTATATGACAGCGATGTTCCTACCTGCAGTCATCTCATTTGTTGTCGTCATTACCTCATTTTTTCTTCCGTCACCAGCTTCGGCTATCTATGTTCTGTTAGCAAATTTTTTTTTAATTGACCTATTTCTTGAAGATCTTCTGGCATTACTACCTCCGGTTATCGGCAGTTTACCGCGAATTGGTAGGTATCCGTCTGTTTATAAGTAGACGAACAATAATTCTTTTCTTCTTCTACATTTTTATAATCTGTTGTTTGGTTGACAGATAGTCTGATTTCAGTTCGTTACACTGGTCTTGTTATTGTCCTAACAACAATTTCAATCTTTCTCAACTACTGGTTTTACAATTTGTTGAATTTAAAGACTACTGCAACTGGTTTTGTAAAAAACTTGGCAAGACTGAAGAGTTTACTACCACGCCGTCTTCAGGGTGAACTTGTTGGTGACAGTCTGTTAACCGAGTTTAACAGTACGAATCTATTTGTTTAAGCTTCTGCTTAATCTTTATTTTTAAACACTTTTTGTACCTATTGCAAAAGATTTTTGATTTTTTAAACAAAGTTAGTTTTTTTTCTTAATATTGAGTATATCGATACAGCAATAGTTAGAACGAAGAATCGGCAAATGCACAAGTGTATAGTTATGCTTAGTGTAGTTGATAAATGATAGTTTAGTGCACTAAAACAAAGTTCACTAATTACTAAAATTTATTAAATTCACTAATTTATTGTATATAAATAAGGAGATAAAACTGTATAAGCCTTCCTTTTCGTTTTAACATTTAATGTTGCACTTAACAATTCCGACTGTTTCAGGTCCTTATTCTGATGATAAAGGTATCAGTTGGCGAACTGTGGTAAATATATTGCGATTTTTAGTTGCTTTACTATTACTGATTGTATTTTTTGTTACCACACTTCTGTTAATTATTTAGTCAGTATAAATGGTAAATTTTTAGAAGAGAGGAAAACAGATGATAGTAAAAACAATTCTGTCTTTAGCTGTTTAATTGTATTCGAGACAATTGTGCTGATTGTATAACAACTGCCTCCTCTTTCAGTAACGGTACATAGGTTGATACAAAAAAAAACTTTATTTTCTACTTATATGTTGTTATAATG